GCCAACTTGGTTGACGCATGTCATCGTATCAATTGCGATGCTGGATCGATGCTCATGATGTCAATCACTGGATTGTCTGGTCCAGACTCGATTATAGATACAGACTGCCGTCATATAGCTGGAATATTGCTGAGTGCGGCGTTAAACAACAAACAAACAAAAACAAAATGATTCCCAAGCCAGTGGAACAACAATATGGCCATACATATATGGTAATATATGCAATATTCACCGTTGATTAAGCAAAGGCCTTTGCTGTGATTGGGTAGATAGTAGATAGGGACAGTGGGAATCTCATTAATCCATTCATGAGCCTCACTAATTAGATGACGAGGCAATTCACGCAATCAGTTCCAGCATTGTCCGATTTCATGGTATTTAGTAATCTGTATTCTGTATGAACCACTTGCAGAACAAAATACAAAATATGCTCAAGTGACGTTTTGATTGGGGTTAAGGTTTTGGTAAAATGGATAGGTAGGTTGTCAATAGACTAACATCTAGTCTCTGAAATGAACATATTTTACAGAAAAAAACAGTCGTTAAATTATATATAGTTACAAAATATAATAAAAAGGAGACCAGACTTTCTTCATTTTCCTGATACTGCAGTAATCTAGACTTGCCAAACATTATAGACTTGCATGGACTGTATTGGATATATTTATTTCAGGATCTGTATGACAGACTAGGTTGTCGATGACAAGACCAGATATTCCACATTGTCGGGTTTGAGGTTCATAGCCACTGACTCATATATCATGGATGTCAAATTTGATACTTCCATTAATGGCTTGAGTTGTTATATTGTTTTCATTCAATAGAAGAACTTTTTCTATTTTTCAAAATGTGTGAGCTGTTGGACACGTAAAGCCAGGAATGAGAATATTTATGTGACAAGAGTTGTGATCATGATAAACTTTCTCCCAATTTTTGAAGTCTTCAACAAGCTACTCGTGTCTAGGTGAAGTCCATCACGGAGACATGCTCACTGAACTCCATGGTGATGTGTGGGAGTCACATTGTATGTCCTCAATCACGCACAATCTGCCATCTACATTAACTTTTGTTTTCCGTGCAGCATGACCATATTGTGGGATTGATTCAGTGACGAGTCGTGAACCTGGCATGCTGTGATTGGGCAATCAATACACACCGGATGCTTGTTTTGGAGCGTCGGTCTATCCACCCATAATGCAACTGCAGAAAGTGATCAACTGATATGTTTTTTATGCAGTCTGCCACACTGTAAGGAAAAAGCTTTGATTCATGTGAAAGAGTTGCTGGCTCTGGCTTCCCTTTAACACCTGTCACTTCCAATACAGAGTTTCATCTATCACGTCAGTGGAAACAATTACTGACCAGAGTTGCAGGTGTCCAGGCCATTCACAAACTCCGCATCTATTTCATGCATTATATATACTTCAATTGGTTGTATTATCATTGCTGTACATTATTATCATCTCCACCACTGCCATTATTATATTCATCATAATCTTAAATATACTGCATGATGATGACGACGATGATGATGGTGGTTATGGTGGGAGTGGTGATGTTGATTATGATGATGTTTATGATGTTGATGGTGATGATGGTGATGATGATGATTATGATTATGATGATGATGGTGATGATGACAACGATGGTGATGATGATTATGATGGTGATGATGATGATTATGATGATGATGATGATGGTGATGATGATGATGATAATGATAATTATGATGATGGTGATGGTGATGGTGATGATGATAATTATGATGGTGATGATGATGATGATGATGGTGGTGATGATGATTATGAAGATGATGATGATGATGGTGATAACGATGGTGATGATGATGATGATGATGTTGATGGTGAATATGATGATGACGATGACAAAGCTCTATTAATATGTAACCTTGACAAACAAGACATAATTTAGTCTGTTGTGTTTGATCATTAGTGTGTATGTGTACTAACACCACATTTCCTGTCGTCGACAATGGCGTATGCCATGATGTCGTGGTGGAGTGGTTAGCGCCTCCTGACCCAGGGTGTGACATATTCACACTGGATACCAGGGTCACGTCAACAGGCTGCTAGTAATTCAACGGGCCAATATTTTGTAGATTTTCTGAGCATAATCATGAGCATATTTGACAATCTGAGAAGGGGACATACATACTGGGTTTTCAATTACTTAATCCAGGTCTTAAGATTTGTCTGCTTAATGAAAACATCATTTTCCTTAAAGCAAAATCTGGAATTGTTGACGTAGCAAATTCCTTTTCATAGCAATGTGGGACATGGGTGGGGCTTCAATTAGCTGTGCAGAGTTGCGTCCCTTAGCTGTGCCAGGAACCTAGCATGGGATCCAATTCAAGTTTGGCCTGATTGTGTTTTGTCACCTCCGTACCCGTGCTTGTGGGTATCACCAAAGTGGTAAACATCTGAATCACTTTGAGCTTTCCTCCCACACCAAGCTGATACAACGTGATATAACTGGAATACTGTTCAAAGTGGCATTAAACAAAACTCACTCACTCAATAGCAATAGAGGCACAGATTCCCATCCACAGAACTTGGTTTTACACATTGTGACCAAGTGTAGAATCAAACCTGGGCCTAACCAGCGACAGGTCAACACTTCAACCACAAGGCCAGGCCATCTCCCCTATGAAGTTATATGATGCTCGTAACAAGATTTCCCCGTTGTTACATCACATAAGAGGTGGTGGGGTAGCTGAATACGCAGGTTCGATTTCCCACATGGGTACTATGTGTGAAGCCTGTTTCTAGTGTCCCCTGCCATGATATTGATGGAATATTGCTTAAAAGGGCGTAAAACCTCACTCACTCACTCTCTCACTATCAAAACCACCCACTCACCCACTCACCCACTCACCCACTCACCCACTCACCCACCCACCCACACATGGGTACTATGTGTGAAGCCCGTTTCTGGTGTCCACTGCCATGATATTGCTGGAATATTGCTAAAAAGGGCATAAAACCTCACTCACTCACTCTCTCACTCACTATCAAAACCACCCACTCACCCACTCACCCACTCACCCACTCACCCACTCACCCACCCATCCACACATGGGTACAATGTGTGAAGCCCGTTTCTTGTGTTCCCCACTGTGATATTGCTGGAATATTGCTAAAAGCAGCGTAAAACCTCACTCACTCACTCATTCATTCACTCACTCACCAGTGCCATAGCCAGCCGGGGGAGCAGGGAGGGCATCTGCCCTCCCTAGATTTTTTATATAAAACAGTTTTGTTTGAATCAAGTTGGGGACAACTGATACTTGTACAAATATTTGCCCCCCCTGTCCAAAAAATAAACTACGGCCTTGCTCACTCACTCACTCACTTGCTCACGCACCCCAAAAACCACCCACCCACCCACACACTCACCCACCCACCCACCCACTCACTCACTCACATATCTGTACTTCTCTGTGAAATTTGAAATATTCCTTTTGAAAAAAGTGAATTACCAACATATTGTTTCTCTGACATTCGTGCCAGACAGCAGATCACACAGGCATAAGGAAATAAAATCTGTTGTTTTTTATTCTGCTTCCTAATAATTGTTATGCCCTGATCGTGGAGCACGATATGGGGCAGGATATGTTTCCTGTAAGTACATACTATAGCGTGTCAGTGGCGGAAATCTTGTGAGTCAATACCTCTAATTGCTGGCTTGTTTCTCATGCTTCAAATTGTTCCTTGTGGTCGGTATGTATCACTTCATGTCTGAAATTCTTATTTCATGTTGGATATTTGATTTATATTTAAAGAAAAAGGTTATTGATTACTAAAGCAAATCTGTAGTGTCTTTAGGCTTCAGTTTAAGCAGATGGAAGTCTCACAAGCAGATATAATAATTTGAATAGATGGAAAAGATTTTTATAGCTGAAGTTATTTATTTTATGAATTTATTTCCAATACATCATGGGAATAAGTTTCAATCTGTGCTTCTATGTTCTTTATGAAATGTCATTTGATATGAGTTGACATTATCCCTGTATGGTCTTCTACAAGTGTAGAACCAGTATATCTCCAAGCATATGTTATCTCAGTCAGTTATGCACATATGTAATTTCATAATATAAAAGCTGGTAGCACCTAATACTTTTAGAAATCTATAGATATTGTAATAGCTAACACCAAGCTTTAATTTAATTAATTGTAATGATCAAACCAACAAAATATTTTTTTTAAGCTTCCATTTTTTTGAGACATTTTTCTCTGAGATTTTCGGTTTGAAGGATATTTATATCCCCTAGGCACTGACATTTCAGTTTGTGTGTTCATGCACAGATACATAATAGTATCCACTATGGTGACTGTTTTTTATCCTTGTGTAACACATTTGTGAGGCCTATGAGCCTCCAGAGGCTCTTGCATCACCTGCCAGCGATACCCATGAGCCTCTGACGTTCAGATTTTCACTGAACAAAATTGTGTCAACTTTGAAATCAATCCATCTGCATTAAGTTAATTCAGGGAATGGTTGCCATATCGGTGAAGTGGCGTCAGTGTCTCCGGTGAACTGATCTCTCGAACTCTGAAAGTGACTGCATATCATTGTTGGGTGCTACTTTCCTTTAGAATCCCTGATTTGTCACCTTGACCCCTGGGAAGAGTTTTAGTAAAGTAGAAAGGACTTTGCTGACAGTTGCTTTGAACTTTCGCTCCATGGTGTAAGGAACTTAATATGGGTCTGTAAATGGCTAAATCTCATGAACCCATCCTCGTTTTTATGATGTGAAAGATTTAATTTTATCTTCTTTTCCCAATGCTGGTACTGGTGGCTAGATGTGTTCCTGTGTGGGCAAAGTAATCATTGATTGTCTATGGTGATCTGAAGTTGTGTTACTTACATGGATTTTTTAAAGAGGAAGTTAAGCCAGTGTCTTAATTTGCACTTTGAAGAGACAGCATGAAAAATGTGTGTATTTTTAACTGCATAACAGTTGTCTCCCTTTGTTTCAGATCGGGCAGGATGAGACATGCACATCCTGCGAGATGAGTTGAATCATGGGAAATAAGCTTTGCGCGCCCTTACTGAAACGGAGCTATCGGAATGACAACTACCCTTGGAACCTCAGGAAGGATTCCCATCTCCTCAGGTAAGCACAGAATGTGGGTTTCAAATGTGAATTTACCACCATCAAATCTACCTTGATGAAAATAAACATGAACTCCTACAGAGAATACTTATTGCAGGAATTCATTGACAACTCTGCATTTTGTAACCTACGATTGTACAGATCATTATTACAAAATGCCTACTTAATATTAGCAATAGTGATGCATCCATCAAATAAGCTGTTGAGATCAGAGGTGCTTATTGTGATTTGAAACCCCTGATTGACCAATCAGAATCAAGTATTTTCCAAAGTTCTGGTAGAATTCAGATTCACAAAAAACAATTGGTGGGTTCCTCAGTGTTTTTTACAAACCAAGTGATATCGGTTTGCTGAGTGGGCAGTATCTTTCCTCTTCAGACAGGTTTGAAATTCACGACACACAAAATGGGATCACTACAGGGAAAAAAACATTCTAAATGTGGTTTGTTAATTCACGACGAAGAGGCATTGAGGTAGCCTAGTGGTTGAAACCTGTTGATCATTATGATAGAACATTGTGTGGAGTCCATTCCCCATCATGATAGATAATGCTTAGCTTGGTAAACAATCATTTATCACACAAGATCTGTCATATCAAGTCATTAAAAGAGTATGGAGATCAAGTGTATACATTTAGATCACTTATCTCCAGTTGGTGATAGGACTTTGATACTGCTTAAGCATTCACTGAAATTGTATGAGTTTTCCTGTGTTCTGCTTTACTGGAAGCTGCAGCAGTCTTCATGTATTGGTGGTGTTCAGAGTTCTTGGACATAGCTTAAGGTGCACCAGCAGAGCTGCACCGCTAGAGTTGGACCATAGGCGTTTCATCTTCAGAGTTGCACCAGCAGCGTTGTATCATTAGTGTTGCACCATCAGAGCTGCACCGCTAGAGTTGTATCATTAGTGTTTCACCATCAGAGCTGCACCGCTTGAGTTGGACCATAGGCGTTTCATCTTCAGAGATGCACCAGCAGCGTTGTATCATTAGTGTTGCACCATCAGAGCTGCACCAGCAGCGTTGTATCATTAGTGTTGCACCATCAGAGCTGCACCGCTAGAGTTCTATCATTAGTGTTGCACCATCAGAGCTGCACCGTTAGAGTTGGACCATAGGCGTTTCATCTTCAGAGTTGCACCAGCAGCGTTCTATCATTAGTGTTACAGCATCAGAGCTGCACCGCTAGAGTTCTATCATTAGTGTTGCACCATCAGAGCTGCACCGTTAGAGTTGGACCATAGGCGTTTCATCTTCAGAGTTGCACCAGCAGCGTTCTATCATTAGTGTTACAGCATCAGAGCTGCACCGCTAGAGTTCTATCATTAGTGTTGCACCATCAGAGCTGCACCGTTAGAGTTGGACCATAGGCGTTTCATCTTCAGAGTTGCACCAGCAGCGTTGTATCATTAGTGTTGCACCATCAGAGCTGCACTGCTAGAGTTGTATCATTAGTGTTGCACCATCAGAGCTGCACTGCTAGAGTTGGACCATAGGCGTTTCATCTTCAGAGTTGCACCAGAAGCGTTGTATCATTAGTGTTGCACCATCAGAGCTGCACCATCAACATTATACCATGAGTTGCGTTCGCAAAGTTGCAGCACCAGAGATAAACATTGGAGTTGCACGATGAAATTAGCACAATCAAAGCTGCATTGAGGATTGTATATTTTACCTTGGCATTTATTGCTATAATATCATGCATCTACTCCCTCTCTCTGGTGATGGCTGTGATTTGATATTAAATCCTGACTCCTACTGAGAGTATAATCAAGTCTGGGTCCTGGCTGTCTTTGCAGTGGGAAAATTCTGAAATATGATAACTGCTTGCCTACAATAATGTTTGCATGTGTAACCAAATAGTTGAATTCGACCACAATCAATAGGGAACTGAAATGTTATTTAGGCATGTCTTGCATGCAGACATTCTAAATCATCCATTCAAGGTACCAATTTCCTGAAACGATCTCTATAAAGAATATTCCCTAACTCAATCTCTCCGTAGCGTACTTGAAGCTCAGTAAAGTCTATTTCTTCCCTGTATGCCGGTTCCCTGGGACATACATTATTGAAATTTGGGAAGAATAATGGAAAGAAAGTGAGCTTTAGGACACCATTACGAATAATCAATGTAGATGGAGCGGCTTTGAAAGGAAAAAATGCCAACATGAAGGAAATATGGTTTCGAGGCTCTGTGATAGAGGTTCCGTCTGTAGAAGAGAGGAAAAGGGTTTGCATTTAAAAGTAGAACACACCTAACAAACCGCTCTCCTTTGTAATGAGTGAGTGAATATGGTTTTACGCCGCTTTTAACAATATTCCAGCAATATCACAGCGGGGGACACCAGAAATGGGCTTCACACATTGTACCAATATGGGGAATTGAATACGGGTCTTCGGCGTGACGAGCGAACGCTTTAACCACTAGGCTACCCGACCGCCCCGCCTTCGTAATGAAGTGCATCAGACATGTAAACAAACTTACATAAGCAGTACATAGATAATTAGAGGAAGATACAGATGCGCCTTCAGCAGCTATAATAACATCCTTGCAGTACAGTTATGTTAATACTTTCGAAACATGGCGGTGTAGGTTCAGGCAGTGTGACTTGACTATTGACTTAAGCTGTTTGTGATGTTTCTCATCAAAATAATTGTATGGTTATATGTCCAAGCTCAAATTGCAGTGATTATTTCCCTCATTCTGTTGGACTGATCTATTCAATCCGATTACTTTGCATTGATTGTTTTTGACATGGGTTGGATGGGTAAGACTCTACCATGTTGAATTGACATAAAACGTGAAACTGAAAAGTTATGCTTGTTGGACAATGGTTTGGAAACTGATACTATGGTTAAAGTTGCCTGTCACTGTGATTCACTTCACTTGAACACATCTGGAGCTGAAACGTTGTGGCAGGAGATATTTGTAACATTGTTTCAGTGTGGCATACCAATCTGCAGTCTGTTATACATGGGCTGAAGCCTTTTGTGGGACTCATTCATTGTGGCTGAACTGATATGTTAACTGAAACATTGTGGCTGAACTGATCTGTTAAACTGAAACATTGTGGCTGAACTGATATGTAAACTGAAACATTGTGGCTGAAATGATATGTTAACTGAAACATTGTGGCTGAACTGATATGTTAACTGAAACATTGTGGCTGAACTGATATGTTAACTGAAACATTGTGGCTGAACTGATCTGTTAAACCTAAATATTGTGGCTGAACTGATCTGTTAAACTGAAACATTGTGACTGAACTGATATGTTAAACTGAAATATTGTGGCAGAGCTAATCTATAACACTGAACATTGTGGCAGAATTGATCTGTAAAACTGAAACATTGTGGCAGAGCTAATCTATGAAACTGAAACATTGTGGCAGAGTTGATCTGTAAAACTGGAACATTGTGACAAGTGATTTATGAAACTGAAACATTTTGGCAGAGCTAATTTATAAAACTGAAACCTTGTGGCAGAATTGATCTGCAAAACTGAAACATTGTGGCAGAGCTAATCTATGACACTGAAACATTGTGGCAGAGCAAATCTATGACACTGAATCATTGTCTCAGAGCTAATCTATGACACTGAAACATTGTCTCAGAGCTAATCTATGACACTGAACATTGTGGCAGAGCTAATATGTAAAATTTAAACATTGTGGCAGAACTGGTCTGTAAAACTGAAACATTGTAGCAGAGCTGATCTATTAAACTGAAACATTGTCTCAGAACTAATCTATTAAGCTGAAACACTACGGAAGAGTTTACATACTGATGTGTGAAGTATTTCACTGTTTTTGGATGTGAAGAATTCCTAAGTTTGTGTTTCAAGTATACAGATGTGCGTGTGTGTGTGTCAAGTATTCATGTGTTTTTCAAGTATTCTGGTATGTGTGTGTGTGTGTGTCAAGTATTCATGTATTTGTCAAGTATTCTGGTATGTGTGTGTGTGTGTGTCATGTATTCACGTGTTTGTCAAGTATTCTGGTATGTGTGTGTGTGTGTGTGTGTGTGTATTCAGGTGTTTTTCAAGTATTCTGGTATATGTGTGTGTACGTGTGTCTGTGTGTAATCTCCAGTCTTGCCAGCAATACAGCAGACTTGTGTAGTGTATGATCAGAGCTGGTGGTACATGCCTTATCCACCACACATCCCTGTTCATCTTCATTTGTGTCCCGGCAGGAGTACCATCAGCTGAAGTGCCCAATTACTTAGTGTTGATAATGAACACATCCCTGTTAGGGAGATATGGTTGGGTGGTACTTGTACATGCTGCCAGACCTATGCTGATATCACAATAACTCCCTCTCATCATCATCATCATCATCAAGCAGGGGTTGCTGAAGACCTATTCACAACCCTGATCTTCACGGGTTATATAATATGTACTGACGGACTTCTGGCAACATTTTATCACTTAAGTGAAATAACACTTAAAGCTCCCAGTCGGCCTCAATGACGCCATGGTTTACACGCTAAGGTCATGATAATAAATATACGATAAACAACAACTGGGCTTCCTTGTTCTCCCAGCTTACTGGGATTTTCAAAAAGATAATTACATGTAGAAAGTAGGTTGAAAATATTATAGTAAACTCTTGTTTATGACGTTACCTCTGTTGGCAATCTCATTCAAATCAGATCTTAGTCCTCAATAAACAAAGATCTGAGGATCATCATCACCACCACCACCACCACCACCACCATCATCATCATCATCATCAACAACATCATCATCACTTTCTCATCATCATCATCATCATCATCATCATCATCATCATCAACAACATCATCATCACTTCATCATCATCATCACTTCATCATCATCATCATCATCATCATCACTTTATCATCACCACCACCACCACCATCATCATCATCATCATCATCATCATCAACAACATCATCATCACTTTATCATCACCACCACCACCACCATCATCATCATATTTATTTACAATAATATAGTTACTATTATTATAGTTATATT